GGCGTGTTATAACTTCCTGGATTGTAGTTCTGAAAAAAAATCTAAAAAAAACATTGTTTGAAATTTTAAACAAATGCCATAAAGGAAATGAGAATCACATTGAAAAGTTTTTGAAAATTCCTTTTCAAACTTAAAATTTCCCAAAAAACTTTGGGGCTATTTCAAGTTTTTATCTAAAGTCTTTCATTCAATTCAATGCATATCTCTATTCATATAAACATAAGGCTAATTTTCAATTTATTTTTATAATGTTAGTATTATGTATTTTTCATACCACCCGAATACTCGATTTTCAAATATTTTGTTATTTGCACCAGCCGGCGCGATGATGCACGATTTTGGTACACAATATGTTTTGTCATTTTATAAAACATTGACGTTATTTGGCAAATTGTATGTGTGGCTTTTTGCTTAACACTTTATTGTTGTTAACATATACAATGGGAATTGATCATACAGTGGGTGGCAAAAAATAGTACAGAGCAAAGAATTACAAAACAAATTTTAAATAAAACTGACCTATTTTCTATTTAAATTTGTTTTTAAAACGAAATTCCATAGCCAAAAATAACATCTTCCGTTGCACACCTTTTTATGGCACTTGCGGTTCTATAATTTATAAATAAACACCGGAGATGAGTGTGTAGGAGTCAATGAGACATCAAACATGGCCAAGCAAATAAATGCTAATTTTAATTCATTTGCATTAATTCGGAACGAAATTTTTCCACACCTAAAGTTGGCTAAAAAGACAGATGATCAACTGATCAGAGGTAAGTTTTTCGATGGGACCTTGATTTTGAACAAGGAAAAGGGAATTATTCAAGGCAAAAAAATAACGAGGGTTTGAGTTTAGCTTGAACTCCAAAAATAAAATCTTGTCATAACCAGTACTTCTCCCGTCTTAGTATCAGGAAATTTGTATTCCCTTCCCTTGCTCTACGTTTGCCTCCATGTGGTGGGCGGGTATCATAAGGAGGTTTTTTTTTTATTGGAACGACATTTCCCGCTTCAGGGATTTTTTAGGGATTATTTGGAAAAATAAAATGTTATTCTGGTGGACCATCTCTTACACGGACTGGCACTTCCTAACATTTATTATCGTATAAAGATGAGAAGGAGAATACAACTGCCTAGTTCGACAGTAAATCTTATTTTGTTTAAAAAATATTATCCTCAAGTACTGCAAACATAAATCTAACTTAACCCAATCGCAGCCACATAATTATTCTTATCTTATTCTTATTCTAAGATTGAATGCAGAACACTGCAGGGCACACTGTCCTTTTTAAACCGTCCATCATAGTATGGAGGGTATATTAAGTTTGTCACTGCGTTTGCAACACCTCGAAATATACCTTTTAGACCCCACAAAGTATAAATATGCTTGATCAGCATAAAATTCTATGTCGATTTAGCGATGACCGTCCTTCTATCCGTCTGTAAAAATCACTCTAGCTTCCGAACGAAATGAAATAGGTCTATATAGACTTAATATAACAGCTACAATCGGTATTTTTAAGATTTTAACCGAATTTTTAATTTTTGTTTTTTTTTTTGGAATATTTTTGTTTTAAGGCTTGTTCTTCTTCAGTGGAAAAAATAGTTAAGAAAATATTATTAAGATATTATCTGCCTCAATATAATTTCCACAATATCCTACGACTATTTATTTTTAGAATTATCCCTTTTTCCATTGCCAATCACCACCTCTTACCTATCCCATCCCTTCGCAACCTCACCCCCCCCCCCCCCCTTTTCAAGCCGTGAGAAAATATTTAATTTTTATTTAGCATCTGCCTATACCATAGTTTGTGTGGGCGCTTAACCGACTACTCACACGGCTGTCCATCAGTGTCTAGCTGCAACGATGAGTAGAGGCACGTGATTCAGACTCGTACACTTACGTAGACCATTACGTAGTTAGTTCATTTCTACACAAAAAACATAAACATCTGTGTTCGACTTGTTTTCCGCATAAATATAGAATTGCGATACATAACGAAAGAGAAATAACTCTCTGGTGCTTAACGGAAAAGTATCTTCCTTTTCTGCCATTTAATGTTCATTTCAGGTCAAAGATTTTATTTTTTTGGATATTCTACGAAATCCAAAAAAAAAAAGGAAAAACTAGGTGGTCAAGTACATTGAATGAAGTACGTAAACAAACATCGAAATACATATTGATGTACTTGAAAGTAATTCAATAGGTTTGGTTGGTGGGAGGTGTGACACTCAACGCTGGTATTGAATTGAGGGCACTTTAATTGAAAAACAAATCTATATATAAAGTAATAACAACAAAAATTAACAAACGATCGAAAGGTTTAACGAAAATTTAAAAATTTTAAAAAATAAATTCTTAAAAAATTCCTGATAATAGGTTTAATATTCCTTGAAATAGTTTTTAAAAAATTCATGCATGAATATTTGATAATCGTTGGAATAAAAATTCTTGAAAAACTTCTAAAACATGGTTTAAAAAAATTCAAATTAGTCACAAATTTAGATAAGATAATCCTTGAAAAAATCCGTTAAAAAATATTAATGATAGTAGGTCTTAAAAAAAGATTATTTTGTATGTCAGATAATCCTTGATAAATTGTTTAAAAAAATGACCATTGATAGATGAGTAGGTAGGTTATGCGAGCGCAGCTGTCTTCTGCAAAAATATAAATACAATACGACAGGGGACAGAAGCTACGTAATCGTAGACACACACCTAATGTTTCCAAACGGTCAATATTTTCAACCTAGTTTGATATATATTTTTGCACCCATGTGGCGCATAATGTCAGATCTAATTTTTAATTTTTTTTTATCATTTGCTAAGAAATCTTGCAATCAACCTTTATTTTCCCAAACCAGCTTAATGGCAATGAGTAGGTAGTTTATGGGGCACCAGTATTGTTCACACACAAAAAATGCTGCCAATGTGACTATAGACACAAATCTAGAGTTATGACTATATTTATCTTCAGATCTAATTTTAAAATTTTTCGTTTATTTATACAAGCCTGCTGAGAAAACTTGCAATCAACCACACAATTTTGGATTATCTTTATTCTGGCTTCGCTCAAATTTCTCACAACTGTATCGCACGGGCCAGAATTCACAATGCATAATGTGTGCATAAAACCTCGACTGACCGAGGTTTCGTTACTCAAATCTTTCCGATTTTGAGCCACAAACAAGGTTTGTTTTTTTCCAAACCAACTTAGTGGCAACGAGTAGTTAGTTTATGGGGCACCAGTGGTGTTCACACATAAAAAGTGCTGCCAATGTGACTACAGACACAAATCTAGAGTAATGCCTATATTTATCTCCAGATGACAGGTATCTTAAAAAATCCGTTAAAATATTTATAATTGATTGCTAGATAATCCTTGAAAGAAGTTCTTTAAAAAGCCGGTTGTAAGTCTGATAATTCATGATTTTTTTTTTTGTTTTTTTTTGAGTAGTTCTTCTCCGATAAGCCAAAACTAATGGCTTATTGGCAGTGAGTAGGCAGATAATGCCGTTGTTGTCTGCATTCCACAAAATGTAAATACAGAACATTAGTGTTGGAAATTGATTTAGAGTAGACACAAACCTCATTTTATCAAAAAGACCAATGTTGCCAACCTTCAGAGTTGCTCACCTTGGACACAAATCAAGTGTGGTAGATATTTTTGACAACCAGGTGGCGCGTAATGCCAGATACTTATTTTTGTAAAAACACAAGATTATAGGCCTTGAAAAACTTCTGTAAAACATTAAAATTCATGATCCTCTATTTTATCTCCGATATTTTTTTTAAAAATAAGTTCCGAAGAGAAATATTTTAAAACACAATTATAAATCTGAAATAAATTCTTCACAAATATATTTTTAAAATCTACAATTTTAGATCTAAGATTTCTGTCAAAGTCCACAATGTTAGGTCTGAAAACCCCTAGTAGAATTCTTAAAAAAAGATTACAGTTTTAAAAGAAAAATCTACGTTTTTCGCTCTGAAAAATCTCTAAAAACTCACGGTTGCCTCTGAATTTTTCCTAGTGTTTCTTTTTTTTAATAAAATTAGAAGCAATGAATTATTGGTAGTGAGTAGGTAAGTTATGCCGGTGCAGTCTACATTTCCAAAATTGTAAATACATAACACCAGTACTGTAAATTATGTTACCGTAGACACATACCTTATGTTGCCAAACGGCTAATGCAAAGGAATAGGTCGATATTGCCAACCTTTAGAGTTGGTTACCCTATAAATTTTCACAACTAGGTGGCGCATAATGTCAGATCTTTATTTTCTGTATTTTTCTTTTTTTAATATTAATAAATAAATTATAAATTAGCTCTAAAAAATCTTGAAATTATCTTTGAAAATATTAAAAACTCCAAAAATTTTTTGTTTAATCTATAATTTACAACTCTGGAAAAATATTTAAAAATCCTCTATTAAAGTTGTGAAAATAAACTTCTTTTAAAAATACTTATAATTTAGTACAAAAAAACCTGTACAAATTTTTGAAATTGAAATGTGAAAAATATCAGGATTAAAACTCTGAAATTCGGAATCTTTGGGGAATGTTTTAAAAAAAATTTCCATTGATGATACCATAAAAATTTACAATTGTAGTATTAAAAAATTTTTCAATAAAAAAATCCCCCATTGTAGCTTATGATAATCCTTGAGATATATTTGGAAAAATCTACATTAGCATTTTTCTTAGGGAAAATCTGTAAAAAAAATCTACGATTACAGGTCTGATGATCTTTAATAAAACGTCTTTGAAATATTTAAAAACAATATCCGTTGACGTTAAATATAGTTGATTACATTTGTATGTGGTCCTTGAAAAAAAATTTAAAGCTTGAAAAGGCTTTAAATAAAATTCCTTAAAAATCTGAACTTTATAAGGACTTAGCAATTTCATTAGGACTTTCCCAAAATTATTATTTTCCGAAAATTTGTGTTCCAACAACTAATTTCGGTTATTTTCCTTATTTTCTTCTTTCAGAGTTTGGCTGAAAAACGCAAAGACCACAATCGTCCCGAGATCCTTGAGGAGCTGACAGCCGATCAATTGGTGCAAGAGAAGACCACGGTGCAACACGGTCTACTCTTTTTCGAGTCGCTGTACGGACGTCCGGCCACCAAGGATGAACGTGATGCAGCTCGCCCTCTCTACGATCGCTATCGTCAACTTAAACGCATGGTTTCACGCAGTGTCACCCTGAGTGGCAGCTCCGCGGCTGGAGCCCCCGAATTGCCAACAATTTTGGAACATGAGGCTATGGTCTTTGAATCGACTCCATTGCAGTACTCCTCGGCGAATAGTACGGAGACCACCAATTCGCCAACCGAATCCGCCGTTCCCACGACTAATAGTTCCGACGAATCGACCACCACGACAACAGCTCAATCCTCGGCGCAACAGCAGCAGCCGAAGGAGGAACAAAATGAAACAATTAGCTGTCTGAGCATTGAAAATCTGTGGGAACAGCTGGAAAAGACCCGAGAGGAAAAGAAGCAATTGAAGCGAGTCATCAGGGATTTTGAGACCGTTTTCGAGGAGCAGAATGGTCGCAAAATGTTGAAGAGCGATCGCAAGACCATTGAGGAGACCTATGCCCAGTACAAGGAGAAGAAGGCAAAGACTCGTTTGCTGCAGGCCTTGATTAAAAAGCAAATATCGCGTTGAAGGCGGCCGAAGAGGAGAAAAACAACAATAATGCATGTGTGAAAAGAGAAAGCAGAACATAGACATATAAGAAGAAGAAGAAGAAAAGTAGAGAAATGAGATTTGGAAAAAGGCACAACAGGCACACACACAACCAAACCACCCACCCAGAGGCTTAAAAAATGAATTGGATGGTTGGCTGGTTGTGTGACTCGGTTTGGCTGTTTTTGTATGACAGTCATCTTTGTAGTTTGGCTTTGAGTATAACAGCTTTGTATAAAAGCCCCCCCAGCGAAAGCTTATGGACTTGGAAAAGGCTTTCCCTTTAGTTTGGTTACAAACCTTCCTCCCCCGCCATTTAACACTGAAAAAAAAGCTCCCATTTCTTTTGGGTGTTTTTCCTTCTTAGCTGGTTGTTGGCAGCCATCGACAAAAGCTCCATGAAAAAGCTTTTGTCTATATTGCCACCACCACCATAGAGTAGATTGTTATACCTTACGTTACGTATAGTTTAAGCGTTACGTTACGTATAGTATAAGCCCATTGTTTACAGTTTTAGTTTCACTGGTTTCCACAGTTTCAAAAGCCATGGAAAATTGCAGTTGAAATGAGAGAAGAATAAAAACAAAAAAAAAACTTTATTTGGTTCTAAACCCAAGACAATTGTTTTGTTACCGTGTCCTCCCTCGGGCACGGGTACGTTTCTTAAAGTTTAAAATATATATTTATATTTTTGTTTTGTTACAAGGATGACATTTTTTTTTAATTTTTAAATTTTTGTGGATCTGAGAAGTGTTGGCCAGGTGTTGAGTTTGTTTTTCTTCCTCTCGAGATACCAGGGAATTTTTAAAATGGCACTGATATTTTGGTAGGAGAAATTGTTTTTTTTTTCGGACACCTCTTGACACACTTCCACTTCCAGAGAAGATGAAAACGTGTATTACATTTTAAGGATTATTATGTATTCTCTAAGAATTATATTTACAAAAAAAAAAAAAAAATGCAAAGAAATGAAAAAAATAAAAACTTATAGCATATATATATGAAAGAAAAATTTATATTCATGAAATAAAAAAATCACAATAATTATTTAAAATAAAAAAACACACACCCAAACATTGTTATTGTCATATATTTATATTTTATAATTTATTTTCACAACATTTAATGTTTTATTTTATTATATTTTCCATTTATTTTGTTTTACCCATTGCCGAGCATCATTAACATATTTTTTTTTTTATTATTTAATAATAATGCCATATGTTTAACATATATAGTTTTTTTTGTTTCTTTTAATATTTTCATTATATTTGTTAAAAAAAAATATATACAATAACTTATTACCAACCATTCATATATTATATATTTAAAAATCATGATTTATATATTGTATAAAAGATTTACCCAAAAGAGCAGTAACTATAGCAGCAAAGCAAAAGATATGAAAAAATAAACATTAAAAGCGAATGAAAATTATTAACATAAACAAAATATAAAAACAAAACAAATACAATAAAAATAAATATTTGATATACTTATCTAAAACGAAAAAAAAAATACTATTATTTTTAAATTACATTAGTGGTCTTATTTTCTAAGGATGTATTCAAAATTCAATACCCTTTAAGGTTTCCATATCGAAAATTCCAACAACTCTTGGGGAGTATAGTAAGGACATAGTTTCTTGTATCGAACACTCACTCGATTGGTTTTAGATCCCCAAAGCATATTAACAGATAATTATGAGGCAATAATTTTAAGGCCTAGGGCGTAAAATGTAGGAATTTCAAAAAAAAAAAATGCTATTCGGAATTTGGAATTGTGAGTCATTAGTTTGGTGGGACGAAATTTTCTAAAAACCATACAAATTTTTGTATCCTCAGCCATATGGCTACAGAGGGTATATTTGATTTGGAAAATCGAAATAACGGGTATCTTTCACTCTAGGTCTCTTTGGACAAAATCCGTTTCAGGATATTTGGAGACGATCTAGCGATGTTCGAATCGTAATATTATTATCAAACTAATGGGCAATATCGCTCTACTGCTTCTTGTACATCCCCCAAAAAAGTTCAAAATTTTCAAAAACAAACAAGTATAAAAGCTGTAAGTTCGGTCGGGCCGAACTTTGAATATCCTCCACCATTTGGTACAGATTGAACAATTTTCAAAAAATAAAATCCGTTAAAAATTCTGTTAATAACTTGAAAATACCTAATGTAGCCGTATATTAGAGTCTATACGACAACGTGGACCTGCATAGGAAACTTTTGTCACAAGCAATTACAATATTCAAATGCGAAACTTGAAAAAATCTATTTATCATGTAGCTAAAATCATCAAAATACCGAATATAGGGAGGTACCATGGTGGTTATAAAACGTGGATCTGCACAGACAATTTTCTGTCATAGGCTGTAATATCCATAACGAACTTCAAATGCGAAATTTGAAACGATTCCGGTAAATAATGTCGCTAAAATCATCAAAATACCGAATATTGTTGGCTACCGTTATATAGGGGCTATATGAAGGCGTGGACCAGCGCAGAAAATTTTTTGTCATAGGCTGTAGCATCCATTACGAACTTCAAATACAAAATTTGAAACAATTCCGATAAATAATGTCGCCAAAATCATCAAAATTCCGAATATCGGGAGGTACCGTTATATGGGGGCTATACGAAGACGTGGACCTGCACATACAATTTTCTGTCATAGACTATAGTATTCATTACGAACTTCAAATGCCAGATTTGAAATAGTTCCGATAAATAATGTCGCCAAAATCATCAAAATTCCGAATATCGGGAGGTACCGTTATGTGGGGGCTATACGAAGACGTAGACCTACATGGCCCATTTTCTGTCTTAAGCCGTAGCATCTATTACGAACTTTAAATATTGATTTTGAAACAATTCCGGTAAAAAATGTCGCTAGAATCATCAAAATACCGCATAACGGAAGGTACCATTATATGGGGGCTATACGCAGACGTGGACCTACATGGCCCATTTTAAATACCAAAAGTCCTGCAGACAAAGTACACATTTGAGTGAATTTTATGAACCGACTTCATTTCGTTCGGAAGCTAGAGTGATTTCCACAGACGGACAGACGGACGGACATTGATAAATCGACATAGAATTTTATGCTGTGGGGTCTAAAAGTATATTTCGAGGTGTTACAAACGGAATGACAAACTTAATAAACCCCCTCAACTATGGTGGAGGGTATAAAAATTATATATTTTACTGCACATTACTACCCGATTTTGCTCCAACTTTGCAAATCCCAAAATTTGCATTAATGCCTAGGTCAGGTTCGAAAATGGATAATATCGGTCCACTCCATCAAATACCTCCCCTGCAAAGGTTCGACATTTTGAATAATTATAACTCTTATAAAATGTGATGTAAGTGTCCGACTGTCTTTAAAGTACACACATCACAATATTTTTAGTAACCCAAGGTCTGATGTGAAGATGGGATATATCGGCTAACTCCTTCTGGAACCTCCCCCACAAAGGCACAAAATTTTGAATATTCATGAAGGCCTTAAAACGCGAAATTGACATCCGATTCCATTCAGACTTAACACATTTCAAAATGACTATCAACACAAGATATGCTGTAAAGATGGTAGAGATCGAACCATTTCTGTACCTCCTCCCCCATATAAGGCTTAAGATTTTGAATAACAAAAACGCTCAAAGAGAGAGAAATAAGCCTGAAACTCTTTTTAACTTTCACACACACAAACATTTTTGCTAACCCAAGATATGGTGTGAAGATGATATATATCTATGTACCCCTTCTGGTATCTCATCCACAAAGGGTCACAATTTTCAATACTTTTATCTGTCATAACTTGGCAAAACAAAAGTCAGCGATTCTTTACAACTTGCTATATCTAAATATATTTCTCTCAACCAGAAACCTGAGATGAATATGAAATTTATGATTCCGCATAAAATTGGATAAAAATATTCGATCTTCTTGATCTTACTAATACTTATATCTGTATTATATGAAGTATGAAAATGGAATACTTCGGTTGACTATATCTGGCACCTCACATTGTTACATATCTCACATAGAGTGAAGGAAGTAGTCGATATAGTCCAAACCTGGCACGTAGCAATATTTATATCACATATATTTAGGTCCAATACGAAATGGACAATATTGGATCATGCCTTCGGAATCCACTCCATAGAGGGTAAACAATTTGAATAATCATAATAAAATATATTTCAGTAATCGAAGATTATCTGAGGGTATACATCAATTTCAAATACAGGGTGAGGTAAAAAAAATGCAGCAAAGCCAAACGCCATAATTTTTAAATTATTTTAAATTTTATTGAATTAAAGCAATAAATGTCGGAAATAGCATCAAACTTTAGAATAAGTTTAGATTTTTTCGAATTGGTCACCTTTGGCACGAATTTTGGTCTTCAAACGACCAGTGAAACCGTCTCATGCTGCTGGAATGTTGCTCAGCAGTTTTGTGGCTCATTCCCGGCTAAGCGCTTGCTTGAGGGGATCGACACTTTGATATTTTTTAGTGCCAACCTTGCTTTCCAAAATACTCCAGACACAATAGTCCAACGGATTGGTATCCGGAGATTTTGGTGGCCATTGTGCGCTGTGAATGAAGCGAGGAAGGCTTTAATACACCCTCCAGAATATTTTCGCGATAACATTCGGCATTTAATTTGATGCCACGGTCGATTAATGCGAACGGAGAGCGACCATCGGCTGTTATGGCGGCCCACACCATCACCATGGCCGGCGCTTGAGTTCTGGTGGCCAACTGAAGGTGCACATTTTCAGCTGACCTCTTTGGCAAGAAAACACGATCATTTTGTTTGTTTAAAAACTGCTGGAATTTTATCTCATCGGCGAAAATCAAATTCGGCAGTTCACCACTTTCTGCCAAGCGAAACAACTCTTTAGCTCTTTTGAGTCTATTTTCTTTCTGTTGCGGGCCATTTTTCGGCCACTGCAACGCGTGTTTCGATCAAGTCGTTTCTTTACTTTTCGAACCATTTTTGCTGACGTTGCTGTTTTCTTCCGTCCACTTCCTTGACGTCGGGCTACGCTTCCAGTATCACGGTAACGAGCGATGATACGAGACACAAAATATTTTTTCAGATTTAAATGCTGGAGTACTCTAACGATAACCACTTCTAGTTTTCCAGTCAAATATTGAGAAATCGCACTATCACGCTTGAATTCCGTCACGAATAACTTTTTTTCTGGAAAATTCTCACCAATATGCTTTTGTACGCTTGTAAACAATAGAATGAGCTGTCACTGGAATAATTCGAACAGCTGTCGGAGGAGTGGCTTAGAAATGACAGCAGTCTGAAATTAGTTGTGAATGAAGCGAGGAACCTAATTTTGTAACCATTCTTGGGTGGCGCGTGCTGTGTGTGATGGCGATGAGTACTGTTGGAATGTCCAAGGTCTGCGGCCAAAACGTTTGAGTGCCCAAGGCTTTAATACACCCTCCAGAATAATTTCGCGATAATATTCAGCATTTGATCTGATGCCACGGTCGATTAATACAAGCGGAGAGCGACCATCGGATGTTATGGTGGCCTACACCACACCATCACCATGGCCGGCGCTTGAGTTCTGGTGGCCAACCGACCTCAGCTGACTCCTTGGCAAGTAAACACCATCATTTTGTTTGTTTACAAACAACGAATGTTTTCTCAGCGGAGACAACCAAATTCGGCA